GTAGCTAACACAGGGCTTGGCATATAGCATATGCCATTCAGACTCCTCCTCTATGCTTCTAACAATGTAACCAAGGGTCACATTACTTTCTTTGTCTACACCATATGGAGTTTACTATAACTCAAATCCTAAAGTCTTATTTCTTAAGTACAAGTTCTTCGAACAAGTACTTGTGCATTTACACTTATGGACCAAAGTAAATAATCTTATATTTATGACTATTATATAGGTCTGGGTAGATTCAGATCATTATTCCAACTTGTTATGATCTGTTTGGATTTCGATGATGTCAACACACTAACATATTACTCTTTTTGGCTTTACATCCACAAATTTGTTAAACATACCTTTATCCAAGACACTGGTAAAAATATTTATTAGGGTAGGACCAAGAACAAAGTTTTGTTATAAGCCACCAGACTGCCCCCGCTAGGTTGCTAAGAAGCACTGTCTAAGTGTGTTCATTCAACCAGTTATTAATCTGCTTAATTGCATTAGCTCAGCTCATATTTCTTAATCTTGTGTCCAATGATATCATGAAGGAATTACACAATGCCCCACTGAAGTTCATGTGTATTTTGTCTATTGCATTTCCTTGAACTATTGTTTCCCACTAATATGGCCAGATTTAATTTGGCTAGAAAGCAATTTGACAAAAAGCAATTTGGTCAAGAAGACAATTTCATCAGAACACTGATCTAGTTAAAAGGGAATACTATCAGTCAGTGTTTTTTCAAAGTTGGCCATTTTTGTATACTGCTGGACAGAGTTGCAACTTATTTTGCTCCTTATATATTTTTGTCCATATTTTGTTTTTCTCAATAGCTTGATTTTTAAAATTTCTAATTCATTTCCAGCCAGTTATGCCTATCAAGTATTGCTTATAATGTAGAATAATTAAAACAATCTAACTATTCAGCAGTTAATTAGGAGAATGAAAATGTGTAACAATTGTTGGATTGTTTCAAAAATATGCTAGGTTCCAAATCCCATATGGTAATTAAAATATCGTATGTAGTCATAGGAAATTCATATGGAAGGCTATCATAAACTAGTGTGCAATCACTAGTTGACACTAATTGAACGCAATTATGTTTAACAAATTTTTTCTTGTTTGTTTTTATAATTTTCCCATAATGAGCATGTGTAGTTTTAAAAGTGTAAAATAATATATAAATCATAATTGTAGTCAATTGTTCAATTTCTCTACTAGTTTCAAAGAATTAGCTCCTTTTGTTGGATCCTTAGCTTGTTCCCTAAGCAATTCCTTAATTGTTCAAACTTTTCACAGAGTAGACAGAGCGATTGTTTGAAGATGAACTCTTATACATAATGATAAAAATAAAAATTGTGAAAACTGTAAAATAATGCTTACAGACACTTTATAGTGTCGTAAAGCTGTCCAATGTTTTATCATCCATATGTGGACATATAATGATGAAAGATATTCATTTTCAACTTATTTATTGTGTTGACCAATTTGCTTTTGACCAAATTACTTTTGGCTAAATTACATGCTATCCATCTACCAGGTGAGTAATATATTAGAGGGAAAAAAAATGTGACTATCCTGATGATGTCCTTTTGGGTGAATCCATGCTGGATTCTACGGATCCACTGGCAACTCTTTTGGATGGTTTATAAACCATCCTTTAATAATCCATTTTGGAATCTTGCCAGTTTGAGAAAATTTAGCAGTATGACTAAGTTTCTTTTGAAGCTGTCCAAAGACACGAATGGGGAATTATCTTCTACTTGAATAGAAATGCTGACAAACTTGGCTACAATGCCGTCCAAGCACTTTATTAAGTATTTTACACTGACCGATACTCAAGGAAATTGCTCACCTTCTCCACATTCTGGCATCTCTACAGAATCGATTCAAGAATACAGCATAGGGGCCAGCCCCGTGGCCGAATGGTTACGTTCTCGCGCTCTGCTTCCGCGGCCCAGGGTTTGGATCCTGGGTATGGACATGGCATTGCTCACTAGGCCATGCTGAAGCGGCGTCCCACATGCCACAGCTAGATGGACCCACAACTAAAATATACAACTATATACTGGGGGCATTTGGGGAGAAAAAAAAAAAGCAGGGGGAAAAAAAAAGAATACAGCATACATTTAAGTTTCTCCCACCCTATAGGTTTCCTAATGCTATTTTTCCCTCAACTCACCTTACTGTTATCAGTATTATTTTAAAACTCAGTGTGGTTCCAGGGGCCGTGATTGCTGCTTGGCCCTGGTCTTATATACCCTCCTTGTCTGTATTTACGGCTCTCTGAGAGGGAAGGGGTATAGGAGTCATCAAAACCTCCTATGAACTGTCAGCCACCTCTTCCTGAGCCCTCTAGGCACTGCTGTTAGACATATAGGTGACAGGTTACACTTTGTATGATTTTGCATAATATACCACATTATATAAGACAAAACACTTAACTTATATTCCATCTTGTCTGTGAAAGGATCCAGTCAGGATTATTAACTTTAAGTCATAGTCCTCACCTTTCTTGGATTTGTTTAAAATAAAACGGTCTAATCCCATCTCTCAGTGTTTGTTCTCAAAGACTGGCGTGCCCGTGTAATCTCAGTGAAAACTTGCAGAGTGACTGAAGGAACATTCTTCAAATGGCACATGATATCGTAGTAGTAAATTTCAGCTATCCTTTGGCCATTGATTCATTCAATAAAAAGTGAAAATAACAAAAATAAAGGAAACTGTTATCTCTAGAGACAAGCCAGATATTCTTTATATGTGAGTTCTGTAGTGGTGGTGATTTTGTCAGGGTTTGGTTGTTAAAATGTGGAGGATTCTTATCCCTCCTGCTTATAATTCCAGTGTCTTTGTTTACGTTTTGGGCACTGCCCCCCAAGGCTTCCCAGGCTGAGGAATCAGAGTCTGAGTGCAGCTACGAGGAAAAGCCCCAAGGCTGTCGACGAGGAAAAAGGCAGGAACCTGAATCTTTCAGTGGAGGAGATGTCTCTTTGATAGAAGAAGTAGAGAAATCTTGCAAAGTTTTTTCTGGTCCATGGTTAGGCAGTTTTCATAAACAGACATAGGCAGTATATTTCACTTTTGTCTCCTCCCTCCTCCCCCATCTTTTTTTTTCTTTTAATGTTATTAGAACAAGAAAAAGAATTCCTGAGAATGGCTCTGATGTCATGTCTGGTTACCGAAGCTAACATGTTGCCTAAATATTTATTCTCACATACAGGGGATTTGGATTGCAGATGTGCAGAAATGTCATCAGGTTAAAAATAACTCTCTTCGCAAGGTAGTGGCACACTGGAGTGCCGATCCAGGCCGCTGCTTATCCTTCCGAGCCTAGCATCCTGGGTGTCCTGCCTGTGCAAAGTAAACGGCCTCCCCCTCACTTCCTTAGGAACCTTCACCTTTTTGCTTGAGCTGTTTCAAAAGTGTGTGCTGCAACTAGCAAGAAACAGAGGAAGAAGAGGAGGAGAAAAACCCTTCTCAGGTAGCCACTCTCTGTTCCAGAGACCCCACATTCTTTATTGCTTTCCTGGTGGGGAAATTTCCTTCCCTCCAGGCCAAAGGTGGCTTCGACATTCTAATCCTTAGGGTGAATGAGTACCTCACCCAAACTGTGCGCAGCTAATCGGTAATGTGGTTCAAAGGGTAGGCTCATGGGAACACCTGGTGCCAGGTGAGGCAGACTAGTCTTGGAAAGGAGGAAGCCTGGGGGAGGGGAGATGGCATCGAGGCCAGGTCCCACCACGGCTGCCCCTTCAGACTTTAGGTGGGGGGCCCTAGCCCCTCTGGGGTCCACCTTGTCAGCCTATAAACTGGAGGGAACCTGTGTCACAGGAATGTGCACTGGGAGCTGACACAGGAATATAAACCACTCTCCAGGGTGAGAAAGACAATGATGATCAAGAATCTGATTGCTTCTGGTGGATGGACTTTGGCGTTGTCAGTGAAAAGGGCACAGAGAGGGGTTTGCAGGTCTCAGGGGATGTTTGAGATACCCACAATTAACTTAGTCCCTGGGGAAGTGACAAAGGCGCAGTAGGAGAGTAGAAACAGCTGGGCAAAGACTTAAGTGAAAAGAAGCAGCGTGAATTAGTGGAGGTCTTCTCTTTTACGGTCTCCACAGCACAGGGAGAAGATTCAACATCTTATTTTCCCCTACAGCAGAGAAATATTTTACAGTGATGCCCTCTTAGAAATAGATCATGTAGGGAGCTAAAAACATCGGTATCCCACCCTTGGAGTCTGGTCAAACTTGAACAAAAACATTAAAAGCTCCTGTAAATTTCTGCAGAAAGAGTGGACTTCATTAACAACGTTAGACTAGGAATTGCCTTGTATACTGTTGAACTGGTTCTACATCATTTTACGTCTGACGAACCTCTGGCTCTTAGTCTTCACTGTAATAACTTCCAGCTTTTCAACTTAATTGCCGCAATCACAAGGAACTGGCCTGCACACAGCGCCACCTGACCGCCACAGAGTTTCCACGTCATGCAGGGCAGTGCCAACACAGTCGTAGCTGTGGGATTTCAGTAATCCCCCTCTGTACCTAAGCAAGCATCAGGCAACACTTAGAGACAGACCCACAGACCTGGACTGACGTTGGGTTGCAATTCCCCTGGGGTTTTCTCTCTATGAGATTACTGCTGCACACAGACCCATTTTCAAGTGGCAAAGATAATTTGATCCCGTTTTAAAGGATACTGATTACACTGACTGAGAGCAGAGAGAAAACCCAGCCCATCGAGACACATCCACAAAAGTTTAAAAGTACAACAAATCTATGTGACTATTTCATCATGGAAGAATTTTTATTTTTTAACCAGTGGCTTTTTTGATCTTTCTAAATCAGAGCTGTGTGTGCATCCTTGACAGTAAGCTGTTACTCTTAAAGACAGCAGGAGAGGCAGCACGTTAAAGTTTCACATTAAACAGCAAAGAGTTTCAAGGAACGTCCTCAAATTACATTCACAGTTTCAAAGTTCAAGAATTGTGGCTGAACACTGCTTACCTTACAATTTCGGCTCTCAAGAGGTCTTTAAGTTTAAAGCAGTACATCAAATGTGCAGGGTGTATTTTCGTGCGTGGAAGTCTAATCTGTCATAGCACCCAGCTCACCGGGAGGAACCAGCCTCCTCTGCCCGAACACCAATGAGGGAACCAGAGAAGCACATGTGGGCAGTGGCTTCCCTGGAAGCCTGTCACAGTCTGCACATGCTCTGTGTGACGGAGGTGCCAAAGCAACCTTGGTGTGAGGCTTACAAAGCACCTCATTGTGAGGTCCCGGGCATCTCTTGGGAAAGAAAAGGGCTATAAAAAGACACTAGCCAATCTGAAGTTTTCATGCTTTTGTTGGGATGGGCCTCTCATTCATTAAAAAGTACAGAGGCAGGACTTTCTGTTCATGAGCTTCCTGGGGAACCAGCAAGACTAATAACAACCCACCAATATGTTCAGAAAGAGGGAAGTCTTAGCTTTTGGATTCTGTTAGGCTCCTGGCTGGTGTGAAGGAGCTCTGTGGGGAAAGCACCATTTCACACTCAGAAAAGCGTCAACTCCATAAGAACCGACAGGATGTTTTTGGAAAGAAGCTCATGATTAAGAGTGTACAATAATGTTTGCTGACTAAGTCGCACCAGGCGCAAGGGTAAAATGAAAATCTACCGCATCTGTGTTATAAAATGAATCTGGGACAGTGGCATAATATTTCAAATGGACTATCCCCATCAAGCTAACTAGAAATCCTTGTCAGCAGGAACAACACTTCCTCTTATGGACACAGACGTACAATGACCAGAAAAACATTTGCCTGTTACTTTCGTATCCACCTGATACAATGTGCCGCAGAAAAGAAAATAGGTGTTGGGTGAAAAAAAATAAGTCAAAATAATCAAACCTCTTCAAAATCCAAATGTTAGGATTCGAGCCATGATTCCTTGTCGCTTAGAGTTTGGGGTTGTCCAGTCCTTCTGCAGTCTTGGCTAGGACACTGGCCTGAAGCGGTTAATCATGGTGAGCAGTCGGTCATGGATGTAAATAGGAAAGACAGCATCTTGAAGTAGAAAGTGGAGCAGAGACTCATGTTCAAGTTCTGGTTCTGGTTGTATCACCAACTCTAAGCCCAGGAAAATCTTGAGGTCTCTCTGGGTCTCAATTTCTTTTTCTGTAAAGTGGAGGAGTTGGACTAGTTCAGGAACGGAAGATGCCTGCAAAGGCTCAGAGTGCAATTCACTGAGGGGAGATTGGGGTGGGGTGGTGGTTAAGGTGAGATGGAGAACACGCATCTCTGTTTCAGAGGTAGCTATTACTCCTGCAAGAACTGATCCTAATTGGAGTGTGGGCTGAATTACGCCAAATCTTCCAGTTTTTTAAAACAAGCTGGAAATTCAGATTTTTATGTGAAATCATCTAAGTTTGATTTGTGGGCAACTTAATTAAAATGTTTAAAAATACCATGAATGCCAAACAAAATCTGTCAGTCTGGTCAAATTTGCCCTGCAGGCCACCAGTTTGTCATTTATAGATTAGATGATCTTGACTCTTATTCTGCTGGAAAATCCAGGGAGATTAGTCTCTAAAAGAAACTATCTTTCAAGATGCTTAGCAGTCAAGATAGGACTTAAAAAAGAGGCAGCCTAATACTTTTGTGGTGAAACTGGGGACCCTCACTCCCTTACGTCATGGTGGTGACCACGTGATCCATGACCTCATGTGGCCCATTTTCCTTGGAAATGGCTCATGTGGAACCCGTGGAATCATAAGCATTCTAAAAATCTCATGAAAGAAAAAACACAGGAGAGCCCACACAGGGAAGAAAAGAAAATATTGTTCCAGTAACATAAAAACCAACCGAATGCGGTGCCACCAGCCTTACCTCAAGGCTGAAATATCAAAAGTAAAAGCGAAAATCTAATAGGCCTTATGATAAGTAGCTAAATTCAGCAATTGAGGGGAAGAAAAGGTTTACTGACTTGCTGAATAAAAGAGAGATGTTGGGGTGGAATGAGGTATAGATGCTTGCAAAATGAAGTTGACTAATTTTCTTCTTCCTCAATATGCAAAACTGAAATTAGAATCCCCAGTCTTCGTGGTCTGAGCCGTCTGACCAGTGCAATTCCTCCTGAGCCACTAGATGAGCTCTGACTGGGTGGAGAATCCCACTTTGTGTGTGGGGACTCATCCTTCTTGAGGGAGAAGAGTACTGACTCACCAAGGACCCAAGCCAGAGCCCTGCAAACATGCTCTATAAATGTTTGCACTGGCTGATGAATGCTGGCAAGGAGACTGTGGACCGAGATGCATAGGCAAGGCTTCCAGTCTTTCAAGACTCAGCTCTGATCTAAATCATTGCATTCCAGGGAATTTCCTTAACCACTCAGGCTGCCTTTCGTAGAGAGGATCCTTTATTTTGCTCTACCTTAGTACAGTACTTACATTGAATATGAATTTTTTGTCTACTTGTCTGTTTTCTTCATTAAACTATAAATTGGTTGACGTACGGATCTGTCTCCCCTCTCACTGTCATTTCTTTATTTCTAGAACTTAACATAGCCCATGCTTGGTATATAAGTTTCTAGAACTTAGTAAATATTGGTTAAATGAATTAGTAAATAGACAGAAAGCTAATAACTAGAAGGAGTAACATGTGCATTATAAATGCAATGGAATTAAAGTGATAAGGCAAGTCTTCGGGAAAAAGTTAGGTTTAGAGGTATTTTTTTTATGAGGATTATGTTTTCTCAAAGGTATAGTCAATATTTTTTCAATTTCATGCTATTGTGGATTTTTGGTTTGCATTTGTTCAATATAACATTTCTCATGACAATATTTACTGCCCTTCCATAATCCAAGCTTTCTGAGCATCTTATTTATGTTTCCTATGACCATCTTTGGGAAAGTTGTCGTTGATAATAAGCGTACAGCTGAGAATTAATGTCAGTTGACTGCCTTCAAATCTCACATTGCTCTCGCAGATGCAACAGAAGGCATGAAGGTAATTCGCTCAGCTCTGAGCGCTTACATGGTAACCAGTGACAGCAGCAGCACATGCTGCCCGCAGGGTCCAGGGGCCCAAGGAGTAGAGTGAATAGAAATCATCCTTTTACACATAGCTTTGGAACTAACCAGAGAGAGTCTCCACTATAAATTTTTAAATAAAATTTAAAAATAAAAATAAATTAAACAAGATTTCAACTGAATTAAATTTATTTTGACTGCAAGATTCTGTGACTATTTGAGAAACTGATAAATACAAAGAAATAAAAGAATGAAGGGAAAACAATGTAGGCAGTTATTTCTGTTGTTTGTGGCTACATAGAAAACCACCCCAAAACATAGGAGCTTCAAACATCTGTTTTATTATCTCCATGGTTCTGTAAATTGACTGGGCCCAACTAGGTGATTCTCCTGCTCCCTGTGGTATCACCTAAGCTGCAGTTACTGGGCAAAGATAACTTGTTATTGCTTATGTTTTTTGATAACACACATCCTAACAGGTGTGAGGTGATACCTCACTGTGGTTTCGATTTGCGCTTCCCTGATGATTAGTGATGTTGAGTACCTTTTCAGGTACCTGTTGGCCATTTGCATGTCTTCTTTGAGAAAATCTATTCAGGTTCTTTGCCCATTTTTCAATTGGGTAATTTTCTCTTTTTTTAAATTTGTTTTTGCTGTTGAGTTGTATGAGTTCCTTGTATTTATTAACCCCTTATCAGATATGAGGCTTGCAAATATTTCCTGCCATTCCATATGCTACCTTTTCATTTTATTGATGGTTTCCTTTGCTGTGCGGAAACTTTTTAGTTTGATGTAGTTCCACTTGTTTATTTTTGCTTTTGTTGTTTTTGATTTTGGTGTAAAATCCAAAAACTCGTTGCCAAGACCCATGTCAAGGAGCTTACCTCCTATGTTTTCTTTTAGGAGTTTAATGGTTTTAAGTCTTACGTTCAAGTCTTTAATCCATCTTGAGTTGACTATTGTGTATCGTGTAAGATGGGTGTCTACTTTCATTCTTTAGCATGTAGCCAGCCAGTTTTTCCAACAGCATTTATTGAAGATACTGTCCTTTCTTCTAATTTGACCCTGAGCCAATGTCTATTGCCAGTCTTCCTCTTTTTGCTTGAAGAAGATTGTTGCTGAGCTAACATCTATGCCAATTTTCCTCTATTTTGTATGTGGGATGCCACCACAGCATGGCTTTCTGAGCAGTATGTAGGTCTGCACCCGGGATCCAAACCTGCAAACCCCAGGCTGCTGAAGCGGAGTGCACAAACTTAACTACTACACCACCAGGCCAGGCTCTCAATATTTTTTTACTTCTTTTTTGATTTTTTCTTTGACTGACTATTGGTTGTTCAGGAGCCTATTGTTTAGTCTCCATGTATTTGTGAATTTTCCAGTTTTCTTCTTGTAATTGATTTCTAGTGTTATACCATTGTGATTAGAAAAAAATGTTTGATATGATTTCAATCTTCTTAAGTTTATTAAGGCTTGTTTTGTGGCCTAACATACATGTTTATCTGTACTAGTATGTTGTATATTTTCACATGTTTTCACGTTACTAATTAGTGTCCTTTCATTCCAACTTAAGCAACTCCCTTTAACATTTCTTGTAAGGCTGGTTTAGTGGTGATAAACCCTTTCAGCTTTTCTTTGTCTGGAAAACTCTTTATCTCTCCTTCAAGTCTGAAAGACAATTTTGCCAGGTAGAGTATTCTTGTTTGGCAATTTTGTTCTTTTTCCTTTCAGCACTTAGAGTATATCCTTCCATTCCCTTCTGGCCTGCAAAGTTTCTGCTGAAAAGTTTACCGATAGTCTTGTGGGGGTTCCCTTGTACGTAACAAGGTGATTTACTCTTGCTGCTTTTAAGATTTTATCTTTGTCTTCAAGTTTTGACAGTTTAATTATAATGTGTCTCTGTGTGGGTCTCTTTAGGTTCATCTTAGTTGATACTCTTTGGGTTTCCTGGATCTGGGTATCTGTTTCTTTCCTTAGTTTAGAGAAGTTTTTAGTCATTTATTTCCTTGAATAAGCTTTCTGCTCCTTTCTCTCTCCTTCTCTTTCCAGGACCCCTATAAGGCATGTATTCCTCTGCTTGATTGTGTCTCACAAGTCTCTTCAGCTATCTTCATTGTTTTTCCTTTTTGTTCCTCTGATTGGATGAATTCACTGCCTTGTCTTTGAGTTCACTGATCTTTTCTTGTGCTTGATCTAGTCTGTTGTTAAAACCCCTCTACTGAATTTTTGAGTTCAATTGTGGTACATTTTTATTTTCTGTTTCTTTTTTGAAATTCTCACTTTGTTCATTTATAGCTCTCTTAACCTTGCTGAGCATCTTTATGATGGTTATTTTGAACTCTCTATCAGATAAGTCATATTTCCTTTCCACTAAGATCTGTTTCTTGAAATTTATCTTGTTCTTTTTTGGAAACTTATTCCCATTTCTTCATTTTCCTTGACTTTTGGTGTTGGTTTTTGCACATTAGATAAAATAGTCACCTCTCCCAGTCTTAACAGACTGGCGCCACATAGGAGATGATCTTCATCAATCAGCCCACCTCGAGTGTCAGGTTGCCTCTCCAACCTTTGTGATTATCTATTCCATCATCTTTGTTCTTAGTGGTTCCCAGTAGTCAAAGGTGTGCTAAGATCCATCAGCGTCCCAAAGGGAAGGATTGCAGTCAGCCTAGGTGCAGGCTGATTAGAAGCTGGACCCTCAGGCAGCAGCTGGGAAAGTATGCAATTAAAACCCTTCCAGAGAGAAAGCGGTATATGGGAGATTTTGCTTGTTCCCTCTGTGCTGAGCTCAGGTGTATAACCATGTGGTTTGCTCCTGAACCTCTTTAAAAACCTCTTCTTTGTTTTCTATAGTCCTGTGGGACTCAGGAGTGCAAGCTCCATTGACTATCAGAGCTAGGTGATTTGGGGGCCTGTCCCTTGGATGGCAGCCATAACATTTTGGGTGCTAAGTGTGTGGACATTCTTCTTCCAGGGAGATACTGATTACTTGGTTTTATTGTTTTCTTGGATTGAGCCAGATGGGGATGGAGGGCGCAGTGCCTGTTGGTGCTTTTGGGCTCTGAGGAGAATTACAGTCAGCATCTAAATGCATCCTAATTAGAGGCCAGATATTCATGCAGTGGCTTGTAATGTATGCAGTCAAACCCTTTCCTGGGGAAGACTGGGAGATGGGCATTTTTGCCAACTCCCTCTGCACTGAGCCCTGGGTGGATAGCCACAGTGAGTGCTTGCACACCCATTAAGAACTGCTTCTTTGATGCAAATCATATGTCTAATAAGGGGTCAATATCCATAATATATAAAGAACTCGTAACAACAACACAAAAATAATTCTATTAAAAATGGGTGAAGGATAAAAATAGAACTACCATATGATCCAGAAATTCCACTTCTGGGTACATATCTGAAGGAAACAAAATCACTATCTTAAAAAAAATCTGCACCTCCATGTTCAATTGTAGCATTATTTATCATAGCCACAACATGAAAACAACCTAAGTGTCCATTGATAAAGAAAACGTGATACATATATAAAAAAAGAAAATGTGATAATGGAATATTATTTGGCCATAAAAAAGAAGGAATTTCTGCTATTCATGACAACATGGATGGACCTTGAGGGCATTATGTTAAGTAAAATAAGTCAGACAGAGACAGACAAATATTGTATTATCTCATTTATACGTGAAATCTAAAAATAAAACAAACTCATAGATACAGAGAACAGATTGGTGGTTGCCAGAGCTGGGGGGTAGGCAAAAAGGGTGAAATTGGGCAAAATGGGTAAAAGTGGTCAAAAGGTATATAAGTCCTGAGAATGTAATGTATAGCATGGTAACTAAAGTTATCAATACCGTACTATATATTTGAAAGTTGCTAAGAGAGAAATCTTAGAAGTTCTCATCACAAGAAAAAAATTTGTAACTGTGAGGTGATGGATGTTAGCAAAACTTATTGTAGTGATCATTTCAAAATATATACATATATCAAATTATGTTGTATACCTAAAACTAATACAATGTTATATGTCAATGATATCTCAATAAAACTGAGGGGAAAAAAGGAGCTGCTTCTTCTCTATAGTGTGAAAATTGTGAATACAAGCCCTTTGGCTTTAGGAGCTAGGTGTCTTGGGTGCCCATTGCTTAAAAGTTGGGGTGCTAGGTGTATGACCCAAGCCCTTTGCTCCTCAGGGAGAAGCTTGGAGTTAGAGATTCCCTCCCAATTACATGGCGCTGTACCAGGGGTGGGGTTTATAGTGAGAGTGTGTTTCAGCCTTTCCTATCCATTTAGATGTGGGTATTTTCTCATTCGCTCGATGTGCAGGAGTCACTCAGCTAGTTTCTGGATTTCTCTTGTGTAGTTCCTTGCTAGAGGAGGAATTGCTCTGTGTGTGGCTATAAATTCAGTGCATTCATGGGGCGAGGGAAGTTCAGGAGCCTCCTGTCTTGCCATCTCGGTTCCTCTCCACAGTACTTTTTGATCGTAGTTTAAAGTGATAATTTCCAATACTGGGGTAGAGTATATGC